CCACCGCCGTGTAACCAAGAAGCAATGCCAACTAACATCAGCAGCAAAATCACGAGCCAAGAGCCAGGCAACCAAAGAGACGTGGTACAGCACGTGCTTGGCATCCTGGAACACCAGCGGCTGAAAGCGACGCCCCCACGGGTTTGACGCGAGTAGGTTGCGGATCCGGGAAGTCCGAGCACGCCAGAGTTTTTCTTTAATTTCGGTACCTCTTTCCCCTTTATGCCCGATCAACAATAAAGTTGTTTCACTCACTCACCAAATACTCGAACACATCATCTAGAAATATTTAACACAATTCGTTGAAACTAACAACATAATGCACTCTAATCAGCATGGGTTTTGAAGTGGCCTATCGACTGCTACTCAATTAGTAGAAGCGCTTCATGATTTTGCCAAAGATGTAAACAGCCAACTACAAATAGATGTAATTTTTGTGGACTTCTTCATGGGTTTAGATCACGTTTCCTACCTCAAGCTTAACTACAAATTAAAGTGTCTAGCAGGAGAAGGACCATTCGCGCGTTGGATTGAAGATTATCTTTCAGACCGTTACCAGTAGGTAGAGTACAATGACCAGGTATCTGATACTGTACCCGTTTTATCTCGTCTACTGCAGGGTTTGCTACTAGCTACAGTGCTCTTTTTACTGTTTACAAACAATATAACTAAGCACGTCGAAGTAAACATCAGGGTACCTGCAGTATACTGCGCACTGTACCACACAAATAAAACTGAAGATGACCAAATAAAACCTAGTATTTCTCTGTACGAAGTGCCACAGTGGTGCTCAGACTGGCAAATTGTGGTAAATGCGGAAAATACGGTCAATATAAACCTTACAAACAACAAATCAACACTTATCTTTCCTTGCAGTATCAACGATATGCTACTACGAAATGTTTCACAGTACAAACACCTGTGCGTCACGATAAGCAGGCACTTAAGCTAGAAAGCGCACGTGCTGCAAATTTCTAAAAAAAAAGCAATGAATAAATTGTTCTTCTTGAAACGATCAATTTTCAAATCTGCCTTTGAAACACATTCCCTCGCCTGCATCAGTCTAACTTGACCAACATTATTATACGCCAGTGTTGCGTGGTTTCCACATACTAAACACAAAGTCGCTGTGCTTGAGCGGGTACAAAGAAAAACTGTCTGCTTTATTTTGAAGTGTTACAGGCATAGCGATTTCCAACAGAACTTCTTCGGCTGGCTGTCCTCGCTATTCTCCAAACGCGCGAAAGTGCGCAGATTAAAATTCCTGTATTCATTGTTACACAAGAGTTTTAAGATTAACATCAGGTCCGTTGTTACATACAGCTCTGTCAGAGAAACGCGACAGAACTGGAGATTCACGTTAGAGGAATTTCGTCCTGCTAACAAAGTATTTCGCTTCTTTTTTCCCCTCAAAAAGTAAGAGACGGGAATGCCTTAGATTAATTTATTGTTACTCAGCCTACACTAGAATTGTTCGCTGAACCCGTGGAAGAAGCTGTTTGACACGGATGCATGTCGCTTTGTTTATTGTTCTCTCTTTAGGTGTTAATGTGGTCAGTTCCATGGAAATACATAGTGTGTGTATACTCAGTGTGTGAAGTTTCTTTGCATGTGTAAATGCTTATTTCTCATATAGCACATGCTTTGTTGCTCGCATCACTTTTGTACATTCATGTATGAATTTATCCCCCCTCCCCTGTAATAATCTTTCTGAGGAATTAGCAGTTTTTGAAAATAAAAGAAAATAAGTTTATAAAAAGCTCTAAACAGATGTTAGCGCACAAGTGCCACACCAGCTACACCATAGCCCTTGAATGATTGTTGAACACACATATACAAGTAAATGTAAAGAGCAGTACATGAAAAATACAGCGCCCGGAAAAAACACAGTCATTCGCATATATCCAACAACACCCACACAAATATAAAGAAGTGTTCCAAAGCCAATGAGTAATGTCTCTGATAATGTCTCTTGTTAACATTCAACCCAACTGACCCAAACACTAGTGCACACGTCTGGTCCTTAAGAGGATTTATTCGCTAATGTGTGCATAACAGCGAACACGTCATTCAATTCGGCACGCGCATATTTATTTTATTTATTTATTTATTCAAAATACTTTACAGACCTAACAGCGCATTGTGTAAGGGGAGCATAAAAGGAATAGATACACGAACTGGCACAATTTCTATACAAACAATAACATAAACTAATTGTCAATTATTATACAAGTCCTTACAGGAATAATAATGAAACAATAATAATAATAATAATAATAATAATAATTTTAATAGGAATATAACGGCAATGAAAATCACATGAGTATACATGTGAGAAAATGACGTAAAACAAGCTAAAAAAGCATGCACAGATTGTTAAAAGACTTTCCATTATCATAAAAAAAAATATCGCTCAAGATTACACAACAGGACTGAATGGCATGTTAGTAATCAAATCATCAAAAAAGTGTAAAGTAAGAAGGAAAAAAGCGAGATACCAATAGCGAATAAACGCGTAGGTGCTGATTTTGATATGAATAAAACGAGCAGTTAATCCTGGAAATGGGTGAGTAGAAGGTGCCGGAATTTTTCTCGATTGCGTTCAGCTACGATTTCATCTGGAAGGCTGTTACACATGCGGATGACACGGAAAGTGCAGATAAGCTAAAACTTTTGTTTTACCGTACATGCGTGTGAAGGAAAGATGATTATTCCGTCTCTTTGATGTGAATGCGGATGTTTGCATTGTCATTGATAATGGCCTTGTTTCATGTTCGTATTTATGAAATAATGAAAGGATGTTTATATCACGTCGGCTGCTCGAAAGGGAAAGTGATAAGTTTTTTCTTTTAATTTGTGTTAAGATTGTGCTATGATCGTAGTTTTGTGAGATGAATCTAGCGGCTCTATTCTGGATTGACTCCAGCATGTTAGTTAAATAGCTGTAATGAGGGGACCAAACTGCAGAAGCGAATTCAAGCTGAGGGCGAACAAATATCGTGGATGTCCTATAATTATTATGAACATAATGAGTTTGGCATGTTTTGTACCAATGAAATTTCACTATTTTTTTGTACTTTTCAGCGATTCCACTGTCTACTAAAAACGTTCTATTGCTTTTAAAGCAGACGTCTGTATTGCTCTGGTTGGCCAAGGGCCGGAAAGTTTATTGATACCGAACAGTCTGTGGTCTAATGGCAACAATTTCAATTTAAGACGGCGTCTTCACGTGTTATGTTGTGGGCAGTCTATAAAAAGTAGACATACGTCTTCATAAAAAAATCCGCGCGGCCATTTGGGAGTTTCAGATCTGCCAATCTTTCGTAAAAAATGTTTTGTGTATTTTGTGTATGTGGTGCATACCCTTTATCACGAGGCTCTCGATTTGATTCCATACACCCTGCGATAGCCCCGTTTTCGTGCGCTCGGACACATCATGAGTCTCCGTCATAAAGCGAAGCCGCTTCACAAAGCATAGAAATTTTGGCCATTTCGTTTTGATGTTTCGGGGAAGCTCAAGTGCCCAATGGAGACGTAAGTGTTAAGGTTGGTAATCCCTTTTGTCTCACGTTTTTCCACACCCAGTTCATTAAAGTACCATGCATGACATTATGATGCCGAGCAAGCAAAGAAACATCTCGCTCATAGATTCACTTTTCTTGGTATTGGAGTCAAATGTTACTAGTGACAATAGCGGGAGCTCTACATCCTGAAACCACGATATCATTGGGAGACTTCGTACTGGAGGTCTCCGGAAATGTTGACCATCTGTTCTTCAGCATTCACCTCAATCTAAGTACAGGGCCGCTGGCATTCAGTTTCAATAAAAAGTCAACTGTCGTGGACGTGGTTTGATCCCGTAACCTTCGGGTCGGTAGGTGAGCACCAGGATCACTAGACTACCCCGTGGCGGCTCTAGACAAATGCTACTTGAGCTATCCCTCAATACATACTGAGGATTTCTGTTTGCGGTGGTGGCTTCGCTGCATCACAGGGCCATAATTATGGGCACATCCAATTATTCCTCTGTGGCTAACCTCGCCACAGCGTTTTCCCTGACGTCATAAACATTGCAGCGAATTGAGCTGACCGTCCATCACGTATGAGAAGCACATACCTCTGCAACGCGCATTCTGAAAGGACGATGAAATTCTCCACGTAAGCGATGCTGCGTATAAATAACAGCCTTCACGAACCGGCCGAGTTGGTAAAGTGCCTTGCTACGATAGCTACGGTTATAGCTAGGACTAGACTTCGATAAGTCGGGAAGGACTCCTGCCTGTCTGTCATGTTCGCCACGTGTAAATAAATCGTTTGGACCTTGGTTTACTAAGACAGTAACTTCGTATCTGCGAGGAACCGCGGGCGCATCGCTAACGATGACTCCACATGCGCAAAGGATTTTGTCTCTTTCATCGTAGTGAGGAGGCAGGAACGGGGACTGCATTCTTTTTTCCGTTACTGGCCCTATTCCGACCGAGGAACCTGTGGCAGAAGTCTTCACTAATTTGATCTTTCATGGCTGTTGGGGCCATTGTACTATTTCCGTTACGTGATACATGGACTTAACATTGTTCTCTTAGTCTTGTGGACTTCGTCCTCTCTCTGAATTACTGCTTTTGCTCTATGGGCGCTATAAAGTCAGCGAAAAATTCTTGAGACCTTTTTCATCTGTCGCGCTGAGCGGAACAAAATGCTAACACTTACAACATGTGAGGGAATATTGAGATTCGCAAGTAGAGAATTTGCGAGACGTGAAGCTGTGGGTAGCTTTTTTTCAGGCAATTCCTGTTTGCTCTCTGCCCGAAAGAACGCCTTTTGTCTCCCGCCTAAGATAAGTTTTTTATTGCAAACAAAAACTAAATAATAGAGCTGCAAGCCTTCCTTCGTATAACATTTGATCTCATTGCTGTCGCGTTACTGCTTCGGTGTTGATGAGAAATTGTTGCCTTTCATTATTTCTCACAGATTTATTATATTTTCTTGTTGCTACAACGCAGGCAAAGGAGTCCAGTTAGCGCAGAGCAAGAAGTCTCTTTACCCGGAATGGAACTCCTGCTTCGACGTCCAGATTTTCAGAGGTGAACAAAATATAGGTGCAAGTTTTATGTTGTATGTCACGTCCTACGTAAAGCGGGAAAGTGATTTTTTTTTTTGAACTGGCTAATCAATTCGCCTTCTTGTTACAAAGGGTTCTACTGAACCACGTTAGCGGGATATTTTTTAATGTGATGTTGACTATTTCTCATGACAATGCTTGCACTCCTAAATCTTGCTCTGCCTAATATTTCGTTCCCGTGCGGCTCTCAAACTTTACGCTGCAAAACAGGAAGGTACTCAGCATTTATACAATATCTTTCTGGTCCAGCTCCATGATATTAGCAGTTCGTGCGTACGGCTGAGGTCACATTGTGCGATAAGCTGGCGATACAATGTGCGATACTTGTCATTTTGACGTCGATAATTTTGCATCCTAGGACCTACATTTGTAGTAGAAATGGTGTTTTGCACCATGGTGCGTTTCCTCGTCAAACGTTTTTAATATCTTTTTTTTTATTTCAACGTTAGTGACAATAGAGAATGCAAGTGAGTTTCTGCATGTTGTTACGGTGAATTGTAAAGTGAGCTGACTTTTGTTGCCATGCATGGGCTTGTATGTCTAAGTGAATGTGAGGCAGCTAGTCTACGTTTCACTGACTTTCTAAAATAGGAAACAAATAATTTTCCTCAAATATCCTGAGTGTTCTTAATTATATCTAGCTTACGTATACAGGATGCTACACTCGAGGCGAACTATCCGCGCTGTAGGGTTCATGACTTATCATTTGCACCACTGGTTCGTTCCGAGATACAAAAGTCACGAAAGCAGATAGGAACACAATCCCTGAACAGCCGCTAACGATGGTATTGCAGAAGACCACGCAAATACCCGCAAAAGGCAGCTTGAAACAATGACGAGAAAGGCATTCACCTTTCCGGAAGTGTCTTCCAGTCCTTCCGAGGCATCTTCGAAAGGGCGGGACAGATGCAGTGGAAGTGAGGAAGAGAAGCATAAAAAAATTGGCCCGAATCTACAAGTTACACAGTAAATGTCATTGAAAGACGATAGTCTTGCGTCTTGAGAGAGCGAACAAAACGTTTATTTGATGTTCTGCGCAAGAAAATCAGGGAATGGTATTCTGAAGGCACTGCGTTGGAGTGCCTCGAGCCCGTAGCAGAGGTGAACAAGCCCATCTAGGCACGTTAGATACGAACGCCATCTGGCAGTTATCTTCGAAAACGAAGGCATGCGTGACCGCGGAGGAAGATGCGCGCCAGTCACGGAGGTGATAAGGCGTAGAATGCAAAGCGACGGCCACGTGCCACCACCATGCCGTCGTAGCAAAGCGTTGGAAACACTTTCTTAAGCATCGCGTTGCACTGTCAGCGCAGCGCGTTAAACGCTACAGTCCTCAGAGTTACTTGCGTGTGCCTCTTCTAGTATGAAGGCAGGCATACAAAACATATACATGTTGTTATGGTGTCTCATACATGCGCAATATTTGCTTTTTTAATTGACAATTTCACAACTATGAGCGCTAAACCTTGAGCAATACTGGTGGGTGCTGCGGATGAGGTTGGCCGTTTGGTGCCGTTTGAGGTATCGTTAGTGTGGAGCAACAGACAAATATACAGACAGACAGACAAAAATTTTCACGTCGAAGGTCCCCAAGATAGACTATCTTCTTTAAAAAGGTGGAAACGCCTGCTCCTCGGCGTGATTGCTTATCATACAGAGCGCGTCCGCGTACGACAAGAGACGCTGGAATCCCTTCCTAAATACCACCTAGCTTCCAGCGGTTTTCATTATATCGAGCAAAGCGCCCCGACGTGAAGCTATGTGGTGTTGGTGCTCATGCAGAAATTGTGGACCCTCCATTTCACACCCTTCCAGCTTTCACTCCATTCCGCCAGGTGACGCTGCGCCTTCAATCAGGCCTCCTGAAAGTAGCGTGTCAATCTTAATGCGCTATGCACTCATCATCGGGAAGTAAGGCAAGGTGTGTAGAGACAGACACGTGAGAAAGAGACAACATAAACTCCGAATGCTCTTAAAACGCAATAAAACGAAGTTACGCTCATGATCGAGTTACTTCGTTAGATCGCGCATATTGTGAAAACAAAATGGGTTCCCTTAGATAGAGCTTTAACTGCATCAGCTGAAAGAGCGTAGTGATAGTAAACGGACAGGTCACCAGGCAAGCAGGTACACGGGCTTATCTAGATGAGGGATAACTGTTTGAACACTTCATTTTCTTTTTTACGAGTTAATTGACAGCGCACTTACGCATTCCATTACGCTATCGCTGACATGCCAAGCCTCGATCCACAGACGCGTGTCTTTCTTCACTTGTCAGTAAAAACTGCACATTCCTAGAATTTTGCTTGTATCAAGAGTTACGATACTTCAACGTTAGGTTACGCAGCGGTTACCTTGACATAGTTCTTCATTTGTGATAAGACAATCGCAGATTTGCGACAATGCTAAGAGTCAGCTACGAGCAACCCTCTCAGTGTGAATGCATTAGTGAGCCACGCATTTGGCCACTTGGCTGCCATTTCATAATGAAAACTGACGCCAGCGTCTGAATTCAGTCAACCGCAAATTTTGCGCGTAAGATCTACGTGTAAGATCTACGCGTCCATTTGAACTCGCTAACGCTAGCTTCGTATACGTCGATGAATGAACCAAAACCGGGCGCAGAACTGCTGCTCTCAAGTTGCCCTTTACGGTGTATCGCGGTCGTAGATGACCGTTTTCTCAATTCATTTTTCATTAAACTGGCGACCGCCGAGGGACGTGACGTGCTCTCACAATGTTCTCCAGGTTCTCTGATGCACATCCTGGTGATGGATCGTCCGAACCGGCATCTGGCCGATCTGCTGCTCAGCGCCCAAGTGCTGGCCGACAAGTGTCGTGATGGGGAAGACGTCGTCAACGTCTGGGTGAGCGTGCATATTTCTCAGCATATCTGCATCCTGCGAGTGAAAAGAAGAATCGTACCTGTATGCTATATTTAATTCCTGCTATTTTCAAAAGTTATCTGACTTTTCCCTTCCTACACTCTGAGTTAGCTCTTTTGTGAAATCATATAGTCGTAAGCGTGCGCAGTGTTTCTCTTCAAAGGAGTCGGAGAAGTAAAGATTTGTCGCAGCGCCCCCACACCTATTAAAGAGCCACTAAACCACACTGTATTCAAGGGCAAGATGGTAGCTTCTTTTTCGCCTTCGCTATAGCCTGCTCGCCACTTATTCGCTCTTAAGACACATGGATTGCCTGCACTAAGCCTTGAGGCAGTCAAGGTTTCGCACTTTTTGATTACGCGCAGTTATTACCACTTGCACAGGCGCAAACGCAGAAAACGAGGGGAAAACAATTTATCGCGCGTGATAGCCTTGCGATACTTGGCGAAACAGGCGTGCCACTCTATGGCAAAGCAGGGTTGGCAGCATTTCACAACGATTATGTTTCGTGAGTGGACATCTGGCGTCACCAATTGTGCTAAAAAAAGTGTAAATGCCAAGAGAGAATAACGTGCTGACTTTCTGTATACTTGGGTACTGTTTAGGGACCCTTGAAGGGAATGTATGGCACAGACGTTGTGCCTTTCTATATCTTAGGCTACTGGGGGGGGGGGGGGGGTGCTAAGCTTTACTGCCAGCGAACAGCACGTATGGTGCCTTCTTCAAACGCGGTCCTTATCCACCCCCTCCCTACTGAACCACCACCGACCCAGCCACCTTCCTACCCTCTGTGCAATGCACTGAGGGCAAATCTAACTCACATTCTCCTGGCCTATCCGTCAACTCCTCCTCCCGGTGTCACTCCAAACCTGAAAGAACTGGGAGACATCGCGACACTCCTCGGACCGAGCAAAGCAGATCACTGCCAGCTGGGCTTCCAGCGTCATGAATTTATTGAACATGAACGTTTAAATGTGGTGGGGCCGCGCGCAGACCCAGGAAACACGAGAGATTATCAATTCCTCTGCAATAAAGCTTTTAGGCTCGACTCGACACGACTTAGAAAACCAGCGTTATATCTTAGGCGTCTTGCTGTATATCTTCAATATCTTACTCGAGGCTACGTTTAGAGTGCACTAACTGAAGTGGGCCACAAAGAATTCTTCTTCCTCAAATAAAGAACAAAACTGCACAACAGTGCGGCCACACAGGAGCCGATATTCCTCACTTTTACTGCCTAATAAACCAACGCATACAGCTCCATAGGTAGTTCATGAATGCGTGAAAAGTCCGGTAAATACTTGATGAAGCTGTGTCTCTAAGCACCATATTAGACAAAGAATTGAAAATTTTTCTGCAATTTTCTTACTTTATCTGACCATACTTTTTTTCTTATTATAACTTTAGCGTTTCTCACTATCATATGGTAGTCTTGGGACGTTAAACCCCACCTATCAATTATCCTTACCACGCCTTCGTGCACTGCCACACTCATTGCTTTGTTTCACATGTAGTGATTCTCATCGCTTTGATACAACTTAGTTGTTCATCCACCCCATCATCCATTCATGTTTTTAAAGTGTGTTTTCTCTTTCATTTTTACCTCGACGAGCTCCTCTCACAATATTTAAATTGAACTGACGTAGTTTTTTTTTATTTTTGCAAGAACACAATTCCAATGCGAGGACTTAGGGCAGTTGTTTCGTTCGAGCTCGTCAACTCCGCGGTATGCGACAACATTAACAATCATTCGTATTCGTAGCATCATCAGGCAACAAATTATGCTCGAAGTGCATAACACGTCGTATTTTAATTGGCAGTTGTGTTCATTACTAGCAGAACCGTAAATTATCAGTTACTTTGATCTCAGTGTGCACGTTTATACACGTTAAAGGCGCTGGTTTGTCTCGTATAAGCAGAAACGGGGTTTAACTTCAGTGCAACAACATACCATCTTCAATATGTTTCCAACCTTGCTGCAACAACCCGTAAGGTTGCTGTGGAACCGTCTTGTCCTTTGGAGAAATTTATTTGCGGTGGCTAGCAAAACTACATCCCGAAGTGGCAACCTCGATTTTTATTCAGCTGTTCATCTCTCATTAGCACCTTCAAAGTCTCATCCTTCACTCTTAGCAAGAATGCCACCTCTGACTATCTTTCCTGAGCCGTGAATAGCAACATACATAATTTTTCTAGAAAATGCACGTTAACTTTTTTTTTCAGGTTATTGCACTCTCTCCAAGAAGTTGTGAAATGCGTTACTCTAAAGAAACAGGGTTAACATCGATCTTTAAACGGTCAAGTTAGGAATCGCCAAGAAGAGCCAAATGCATCCTTCTTATTTTTCTTGGTTCCGGCGCCGACTCATTTTACTGTTCAAAGGCCCCGTAGAAGCCCTTACAGTGAACTATGGCGTTCTTTTTTTGAGGATATATGTCCTTTCGCTGCGCTCAAACTTCCGCCATCCAGGCTGTTCGTGTGACGTTACATTTCTCGATTTGTCTGTACAATAAGAATTTCCGTTTGACTTTCGCTTTCGCCATACAGTGGAATGCCCGTTCTTTCCTTCAGCCACGTTTTGCTGTTGCGCGTGATTATCTCGTTTCGTGCAGTTCGTTTTCCAGCGTGCAAGCGGTAAAAACAGGGTATCTCGAGGCAGTAAGCGCCACAGTCATCGTGCACTTGTCTTGCAAAAAAATATGTGGCAATGGAGCATGTGGAGGCTTGGTGAGATAAAATGTTCTATGTACAGTACTAGCAAACCTACAATAGGCAATGGCGTGGCTAATCTGTCAATAATATAAGACCTAACAGTGCGTAGAATATGTAAACAGAGGAAAAACGAAGGAGTAGTGCGATCCCGCATCGAGTGCTGTAAAGTTGTCAACATTAGAACAAACTAAATTTGTTTCGAGATGCATAGAACGCAGTAGTTTGTTTTTCTTGACGCGTATTTCTTGTGCGCTAACTACTTCTAAGCCGTTGATCTACTTTCTCTAGGGATAGCCAACTGAACGCCCGTCTGGATAACTCATCATTTTACCATATGGTGACTAGATGGACACGACACTTTGTCACCTTTGTTCCTGTCAGAAGTGCGCTACTTCGCCATATGGAAAAATGATCAGTCACTAAGTAGCCCAGCTGTCAACCTCGTTGGCCTCGTTAACTTTCCTACTTTTTAATGCAAAGCATTTCTTGGCAAACTTCGGCGACATTGAGCGTATCTATCTACCTATCTATCTAGCCGCCTACGACTTTTAGCTATCCTGGCCGTTTGGATAATGGCATCGATACCAAACTTGGTATGACATATCATCACTGTATTAACATAACTAGTCATAACATTAAAATCATGACATGTATGTCATAAATGTCATGATTCACGTGTCATGCTCTTGCTGCTCTTGCGGTGTTTTATTCACATGATGTGTTGCAAAACTGGTATGGTATGACATGACTGCATGGCGAGCACTAGAAACAGACCCTAACATCAAATTCATGACATGCGTGTCTTGTAAATAACACGACTACATGCCACACTCATGATGTGCTCAAGGCCGCTTCGCTAGCTTTGCGTATACCGAATTTGGTATTACGGGACGTGAATTGATGACGAAGGTATGTGACCGGTGCAAACATGAATATTATGAGGTGCATGTCATGTAACAACACGACTACATCCCATACTCACAACGCGCTCGCGGCCGTTGCGCTAGCTTTTCATGAACCAAATTCGGTATTACAGGACGTGAATGGATGATGAAGGTATGTGAGTGGTGCAAACATGAAAATCATGAGATGCATGTCATGTTAAAACATGATTACATGCTACGTTTATGATGCGCTCGCGGCTGTTTTGTTAGCTTCACATGTACCAAATTTGGTATTGCGGGACTCGAATCGATAGGCAAATGATACGTCCAAGCCTGATGATCCCGACATGTGTATCATGTAACAACATGACTACGTCCCAAACTCATCAACCGCTCGCAGCCGTTTCACTACAATCACATGTGTGAAAATTTGGTATTACATCACGTGAATGGAAGACGAAGGTATGTGACTGGTGCAAACATGTTAATCGTGAGTCGCGATCTTGTAAGAACATTCATACATGCCACATTCAAGGCGTCAATAAACTTTGAGGTGTGCTGGCGCGCGTGCGCGCCGGTATTTGTTGTATCACGTCACGCCAGCGAAGCCACGCCAGGCACCGGTATCCCCCTAGTAGAGATCAGTGGATCTTCCCACTGACCATCATTGTAGTTCTGCCCACTGACCTTCACTGTCCTGCATGACATATACCTGCAGGCGGGCACCGCGCTGCGTTGCTTTGACGCATGCGCGTTTGAGAGCACATGGCGTCCCTCCGTCCCCAAAAGAGGCAGACGCGGTGCTATTTAAGTAGCGTCGTTGGCGCGAAACGCAGCATGCCACATTTCTCGCCAGTTCACGCCGGTTGCCACTGGGCCGCGCTTACGGACGCTGGTCGTGCCGGTCGCGCCTGGCGCCACCCTATAGAGTGCTCGCGTTTTACTAGCTTGGCGTCACTGCGCCCAGCCTACGCGTGCGTCAACGTTGAGTCGGAGTACAATGGGCCTTTCATGACGCGCTCGCTGCCGTTGCGCTAGCTCCATATGTACCAAATTTGCTATCACGGGAAGTGAATAGACAATGAAGGTAAATGACAGGCCCAAACCTGATAATCACAAGATGCGTTTCATGTAAAACATGACTACATGCTACGCTCATAGCGTTCTCGCAGCTGTTTCACTAATTACAAATATACGAAATTCGGTATTACGTGACGTAAATTGACGATGAATGTAAATGACACGTACAAATATGATAATCATGATATGGATTTTGTGTAAAACGGGACTACGTGCTACGTTTACAGCACGCTCGTGGCCGTTTCGCTAGCTCCATACACACCAAAGTTGGTATCAAGTGACGGTAATAGATGGCGAAGGTGAATAAAACGTCTAAACATGGTAATCATGACATGGAAGTCATGTACGGCATAATTTACTTCCGCCTCTTAACGTTATGCTGATTTTAAAGTGACCTATCATCCTTCCTCATTCGTGCTTCGCATATCACCGATTCCCACTGTACGTGGGATCTGCCTTTTTATCTATCCTTCCTCCTCTTCCAAAAGTGAGAAAGAAACAACTCTAATAAGATCTCCGAGTGAATTAAAGGCTGTTTATCAAGCACCCTATTAGGGTTCAGTCTAGATTCGACAGCTAGCCGGGATGAACAAACCAAGCGCAGCAACCGCAATGTCATATAAATGCGTTCCGCGCATAAGTAGCTCCGAGACGCAAAGAAGTTTTATACAGCTGTTATATACCTTCCTCTTGAGGGATCGTGGCAAACTACCTGTCATAATTTGAGAGTGCTTGCCAAATGTGCTCCACCCCATTCTTATTCTTCTAGTTACTTCAGTCTCGTGGTTCGGCTCTGCGGTTATTACCTGCCCTAAGTAGACATAATCTTTTACAACTTCAAGTGCACTATTACCTATCTCGAAGCGCTGCTCCTTGCCGAGGTTGTTGTACATTACTTTCGTTTTCTGCAGATTAATTTTAAGACCCACCTTTCTGCTTTCCTTGTCTAGCTCCGTAATCATAAGTTGCAATTCGTCCCCCGAGTTACTCAGCAATGCAATGTCATCGGCGAAGCGCAGGTTACTAAGGTATTCTTCATTGACTCTTATCCCTAACTGTTCCCATTCTAGGCTTCTGAAAACCTCCTGTAAGCACGCGGTAAATAGCATTGGGGAAATTGTGTCCCCCTGCCTTACACCCTTCTTGATTGGTATTCTGTTGCTTTCTTTATGAAGCACTATGGTAGCAGTTGATCCCCTGTAGATTTCTTCCAGAATGTTTATATATACTTCATCTACGCCCTGATTCCGCAGTGTTTGCATGACGGCTGATATTTCTACTGAATCAAACGCTTTCTCGTAATCTATGAAGGCTATGTAAGGGGTTGGTTAAACTCTGAGCATTTCTCTATTACCTGATTGATAGTATGAATGTGGTCAATTGTTGAGTAGCCTGTTCGAAATCCTGCTTGTTCCTTTGGTTGATTGAATTCTAATGTTTTCTTTACTCTGTTAGCAATTACCTTTGTAAATAGCTTGTATACTACAGAGAGCAAGCTGATCGGCCTGTAATTCTTCAAGTCCTTGTCATCTCCTTTCTTATGTATTAAGATGATGTTAGCGTTCTTCCAAGACTCTGGTACTCTTCCCGTCAGGAGACACCTCGTAAACAGGGTGGCTAGTTTTTCTAACACAATCTGTCCTCCATCTTTCAGCAGATCTGATGTTACCTGATCCTCACCAGCAGCTTTGCCCCTTTGCATGCTCTCCAAAGTTTTCCTGACTTCTTCCATCATTACTGGTGGGGTGTAATCTGGGTTACTGCTTGTTCTTATAGTATTAAGGCCGTGGTTGTCACGGCTACTGTACAGATCTCTGTAAAACTCCTCTGCTATTTTAACTATCCTATCCATATTGGTAGTTATTTTGCCTTCTTTGTCCCTTAGTGCATACATCCGACTTTTGCCTATCCCAAGTTTCCTCTTCAATGCTTTGACACTTCCTCCGTTTTTCAGAGCGTGTTCAATTCTCTCCATGTTATACCTTCTTACATCGCATACCTTACGTCTATTAATCAACTTCGAAAGCTCTGCCAGTTCTATTTTGTCTGTTGTACTTGACACTTTCATGATTTGACGCTTCTTAATTAGGTTCTTCGTTTCCTGGGAAAGCTTGCCAGTGTCTTGTCTAACTACCCTGCCTCCAACTTCCACTGCACACTCCGTAATGATACTCGTTAGATTATCATTCATTGTATCTACGCTAAGGTTCGTTTCCTCACTAAGAGCCGAGTACCTGTTCTGCAGTGACACTCTGAATTTCTGTACTTTCCCTCTCAGTGCTAGCTGATTGATTGGCTTCTTGCGTATCAGTTTCTGTCGTTCCTTCTTCAAGTCTACCTCCCACATGCTTACGTCAAATATATATATATATATATATATATATATATATATATATATATATATATATATATATATATATATATATATATATATATATGTATATATATATATATATATATGTATATATGTATGTATGTATGTAGTGGGAGTAATAATTCAATGGGCCAGTTAGTCTTCGTGAAGGTATGGGATATGGCACAACGGGAGCGTTTGTATGTATGTATATGTATATGTATATGTATATGTATATATATATTATATATGAAAGCCTTTCGCCTTTATGAACTTTCTGCATAGGAATGACCGAAAACGCTCTCAGCGATGCCTGCCGTTGCGAAGAGACGCTACACCACATCCTGTGCGACTGTCCGTTGTATGACATTCAGAGACAGTCGCTGGCGTCCGTTCTTGCGTGAATCGACAACAGCCAAATGTCTGTGGACACTATTCTGTCAAGTTCCCGAGAGAAGATATTGCAACAGAAGGCGACAAAAGCTCTGTTGAAATTCCTGCGCGACACGGACTTGAACAAGCGGCTGTAACAGCAATGTCACACAACACGACAGGCAAGACTGGACTATGACTGAGTGTGCGCGCGTGTGCAGCCGAATGTGCTGCGTTTACCTCTTCCCTCTCTGCTCTCTATCTTTCATCTAACCCAACCTCCTTCCATACGCAGGGTAGCAAACCGGCTGCCTATAGGCTGGTTAACCTCGCTGCTGTTCTTTTCTTCCTATTTTCTTTCCTTCCTTCTGCTGGACGAAAACGAACACTCAGACAAACTTGTGTTATTCGTTTCTCTTCTGAACTGACCAAGTGGGACCGCGGGCTGGTAGACAGCTGAACAATGCAAACTCTGTCAGTCTTGCTCTTGCTAAACGTTCTAGTTCTCGCAAAGCCTGACACATATGAAAACTAACAAAAAAAAAAACAACGAGCCCATATGGACAACTCGACCGTTTGAGTCTGTGTTTATGCTCTGAACAGCATCGCAAGCAGGGCATTTCGACAGGTAAGAAAGAACTAAGTCCAAGTCACATTAGTAACCGAACGATGGATGGATGAATGGGCGAACAGGCGGGCGGATTCGGCTACTCTCTTAGATTGGGCGGCAGCTCATGCCACCTAGCCATAAAGTAAACTATTGTCACTATATGTTTAGAAATGAATATCGCTCGCGTCCTAATGGTAGCCACCAATCAGTTAGGCTCTTCCTGGTTATTTCTACCCATTTAATATCTATTTTGCTTTCTCTGTCATTAAACCCCAATGCTTTAAAAAGTTTCGCGTGGTTCCACAAATTACCACAAGGTGGCGATGGATGTCCGCAAGTCTCGATGCCAGTTTCTCTCTCTTCACAACTTTCCTCTATTTTCTATTTCTGTCGCAGCTCAAGCTCCGGCCCAGCGGCAAACTGAACGTCCAGGTTCGCCGCTTCCGCGAGGGTGAAGGTACGCTTGCACAATAATATACAAATTTCACTTACGGGTGAACAAATCACCTTCTTCCGTAATTTTTGCAATATTTTATTCAACGTTATACAATTCTCGCTTTATTTTGTACTCTTCATGTATGACTGTCTGTCATGTTACTGGTTTGCCAAATCGTTATGATTTTGGGACCTTGTCAGTCTTATTGGGCATTTAATGCCATACTCCTACTTTTTTATTTAAAGAAAAACTGAAATTGATTGATTGATTGACTGATTGATTGATTGATTGATTGATTGATTGATTGATTGATTGATTGATTGATTGATTGATTGATTGATTGATTGATTAGTTGGGTGAGTGAGTGCGTGTGTGAGCGAGTGAGAGTGAGTGAGGGAGAAACCTCTGTGAAAAGGTGAAGGGAAGAGGGTGATGTTGCCAGAGGTTATCCTGGCAGACATGGGGGGCTATTAGTTCGCCTGAGCATCTCTTTTCATCCAGTGTATCTGAGCGTGAATTAAATAGCAGCCAATCCCTCGCTAATAATTTGCACAAGTTTATTCACCGAATATGTGTGGAAACCATCTTTTCTCCAAATCATACGTTATATTCTCCCTTTCGGTGCAAAGGCGCTTACTGAATCTTTACATAGCAGTCTCTATCCCCAACTTTATAGCATACAGTACACAGTGATGAAGAAGCACGCTTCACTAAAGGCATCTAAAAATCAGGTTATCGCGTTATTAGAACGCGCTGCATTTGTCTTATAGCGAATACACTTAACAGAATAAAACATTTACCGGTGGGCAGAATCTTTGACGAAAAAGGAACGAGATAGGAGAAAAGTCGCAGTTCAAAGTTAAGACAACTTTTTATTCCTCAGATGTCGCGAATATTTTCACAACACTGGGGAAGTAGTAGCATAAAGAGAGGAGAAACATGCATGTGTTGCACGCCAGAATGTTGAAATACACGGCTCAAGCGAAGTGATACAGAATTTCTTTGTGTAATAGAGGGATCTAAGGCACATTCACACACGTTTGCCTTGCATCGTTCATCTAAAAAAGCTTCATGCATTTCATAAGCCCTTTTTTCTTATATCTAGTCATTGCCTTGTAATAAATAAAATAATTGGTGCACTTACACTTGCTACAGTTACCAAATGGCTACACACCAACCCGTGCCAGAGATCATTCTGATGGGGTCGTCAAAGAGATCTCCTCTGCAGCCAAATAAAATTTTCTCGGGCCCTCATGTCGACGTATGTCACACTTGCTTGTGCTTACGCAGTGCATGAACAACGGGGCGTACTTCAGCTGACAAGCGCTGTTAGAAACCTGCCTCTGCATTGCTATGAATGTGGCTTTGACGGTAATTCCACTCCATGGAGTATAATTTGTAGATGAAGATATAAGAGGAAATATGAAATTCCAGAATATTTTGAATTCAAAAATTCAGAGCAATGTGTCGTCTGTGAGTGATCACTCGGTTCCAGACTGATAAAAAATTCGGGTTTCTAGCATGCTGGCGCACGTTGTCTAGCTATTATTCAGCTTTATGAATTTAGTTTAAAGACTATATATAAGTTATTGCTTAGGAGATATAATGCAAAATCACTTAGTATTACTTACTTGCTAATTAAAGTTATAGTTTCTCTGCCCCACCACGGTGGTCTAGTGGCTAAGATACTCGGTTGTTGCCCGGCAGGTCGCGGGATTGAATCCCGGCGGCAGCGGCTGCATTTTTGATGGAGACAAAAATGCTGTGGGCCCGTGTGCTCAGATTTGGGCGCATGTTTCAGAACCTCGGGTGGTCAGAATTTCCGGAGCCCCCCCTACGGCCTCACTCATAATCGTGTGGTGATTTTGAGACGTCAAACCCGACGTCTCAATCATTCAACATTATTATTTTCAAATCAGGGTTCCCCTTCTCGAAAAACAGCACGCCGCCAAAGTGACATTCAATGCACTTAACTGTGTTCGATCAAAGTACAATTAAGCTTGCTCTTGTGACCTAAATATCATTTATGCCGGTGCCCCATAGAGTCACTGGTCTGAACTACCAATACTCATGCTGAATTGGTGAAGGTAGCAGCTCTATCGAAATCTTGCTCAACGAGTCACTCGCTTGAAAACACAGCTAAAAGCCAAAGCCAACAATTGTTAAAAATATAATTGATAACTATCGTTGGAAGCCGCAGCCATGAATCATTGGTCACTTTTGAAAGTTTAGTCGAAAAGGCTTTCCGGCATCACGTAAACTGACAGACTTAATTAGAGGTAATGTGCTCTTATTTGCCTCACAGCGTAAGTGAGTGTATAAATTTTTCGTGAGAGGGTATGCATAGACGCATTTGACTTCGTTCTTAGCTTCACTTGGTTAATTTAGGTTTCTGTGCGTTTCCAAATTCACAACATATTTAAGCTAACCGTCGTTCCGTGCACGGAGAACACGAAACGATCGCCATCATTATCATCATGCACAGGCACACACTCTTTACCTCTTCACCTTCGTCATCTTCTGCTTCACTAGCAGAACAAGTGTGCTGATTTCTGCAGCTTCGAAATCAATAACTGTGATGGCCCAGAGAGTGATTGTAGAATAAGAAAAAAATAAGGGGGGGAAAAGGAAAGAAAAAATTAAGAAATAAGAGAAGAAAACCAGAAAATGGCAGAAATGTAAGAAAACGAATGGACACCAAGAAACAGTTATAGAAATTTCAGACAGATACACGAAAAATAGATACAAAAAGAGAGAGTCACGCGGGAAAAGAAAAACAGAGACAAAAAAACGAGACACGAGGAGAGAGAGAAAGTAAGAAAGGAAAGGCAGGAAGAGTGGGAAAGAAAAAGAAATAAAGAAACACGGAACAATACATAGATGATGAACACATGAAAAATCCCAGATCGAGAAAAAAAATAAAGCAGACCACCTATCTCTGCACTTTTTTAAGGTTCGGCATTACTAGTACGAAGCTGACCTAATTTTTTTCTTAGTACCACCATCATAAACTACGGAGGATGGTAAAGGAGAGCGGCTAATCTAATATTTTCCCACCTCACTCGGAGGAAACTGCCAGACTTGAAATAAAGTTCATTCATTCATTAGTATTTTGAGCAATGCGTCCACCTCTTAATGAAAGAAAGTATTGCTATGCTGTGGTATGTCAGAAAACAGTATACAATATTATTGCACTGTTTAGGAATAGTTTTTTTTATCTAGGAAGCTGTTATGACAACACATGTAGATATTGTCACATGTATGGGACGGCAAAGAAGGCTGAAGCAAGACTTCTAAATAGGGAACTCTGTATTGGGGAAATTTAGGCCTGGGAAATTGGAACTCACCGTTCAAGCAATGCTCGTTGTACACTGGTATTGGCAATCACAGGGGTTGGTCGACAGAAATCTGAATGAGGGATTAACTACAGCAAATTTTATCTGTGAATGATTGAATATGGCAGCGTCACCGCTGGAGCTTGCGTTAGAACCCATACTTTCCCATAGTAGATTTACCGTACTCTGAATGGTCGAACATTTTTTTTTTTGTAAACACATATCAACCAGTCTTGTTCGAGAAGCTCCTGAAACATTAGACTGCTGAATGATACTCACATGCGCCCGATCCCATCAGTACTAAGACCAATTATATTTGAGGTCATAGATACAAAAACCTCCGTATGTATATGATGGACGCCTTAGTGAAGGACTCCGGCAAATTCAACCATCTGGTGTTTGTTAACTTGCACTGACAACACCAAATACATAATCCTTCAGCATTTCCCCCATGAATTGCGACCGCCGATGCCAGGATTGATCCCGAAACGTTCGCGTCAGTAGCCAAACACCGGAACCTCCTATCCACAATGGTGAAACTACTCGATCATATCAATGGAGTTCAGCACGCATGGAAATGTAATTTAGAAAACGCCATCTTGCATTGACCCTGATACCGCTTGTGCTTACTCATCATTTTTTTTGTTGTTGGCTTGTGCAGCCACTCCTCTCGAAGAAGAACCGAAGGCGGCCGGCGGCATCACCCGCCGACGTGGTGCCATCAAGCACCAAAAGGTCTTCGAGGTCAAAGGTCACAAGTTCATCGAGAAGTTTTTCCGGCAACCCACCTTCTGCGCCTTCTGTAAGGAATTCCTATGGTGAGTCGATGCCAGACTGTTGTATTCATCACTTTGAACTGGTTCGCTGTGCGCAAGGCTTTTAGTGAACTTCACCGCCTTCATGACGTCTCCAGGCTGAAGAAGGCATCGTTGATGAACAACTTGGCGTGCTTATTCGCAGCACCTATTATAGTGACCGTACTTCAAAGTTTGGTATTGCGCAAGTGAGCTGCACATTTTATAAGAATATTATGAATATTACTGCTGCTATTTCCTATGTTATCACGTGAGTGCTAAAGACAAACATGAAGATATAAGCAGAGAGTGAGCTGTGAACTACGATAGAAAAGAGCACGACGTTCACCTATACCACTAAACCTCGTTATACCGAACACGATTAAAGGGAATTTTCGGCTATAGCGAGCTAAAACCAACGCTTTGTTGGCCAAACGTCATTTCACAGTCATTTGTTTGCCTAGAAAACTCAAGTATTTTATTGCTGCCACGATATGAGCTGTAACAAAACCGTACTTCAAACCTGGAAACTACCATAAAAAGCAAAACAATCCTAACAAGAGAACAAGACATTGCATAAAGAGGTGGTCGTGAGAAGGGTAAGAGCGCACTGAATACAAATACACAAAGAAAGGACACACACACACACATAGCACTACTTTCAACAGTTTATTTTTGTGATCACAACGCTACTTATAGGGCACAACAATGAGCACAACACCTGCGCAGAAGTAACCACAACATTACTACGCATCATAACAGACACCGAGGAAATCACATTCCTTCTTCGTCAGCGCGATAGAAGGCATACTAACACACCTCTCACCCAACTTTTCAATCTCTCCTGCCTCTATTAACTCGCGTGTAAGCTGATTCCTATTTCTTGACAAAACCCTCCACGTGTCGAACAGGTGCATACAACCACACTTTTTACAATGTATTGCTAAGAATCCACCTGCCCCGTTTTTTACATTGTATTGATGCTCACGCAGCTGGTCATTCAAGCAACGACCGGTTTGTCTGACGTAGCAGCGACCACAAGATAGCAGCAGGCAAAACACGACACACTCAGCGCACTGAGCAAACTTAATTTTGTGATTAGTTTTGCATCCCCGATTTTCGTTTGCATTTCTCGTCGTAATCTTGCACAACCTTTCCAACTTTCCAACTTGTTTCCTGTTTGGCGCTGAAAAGAGCACGCGCACTATATCTTACAATATATATATATATATATATATATATATATATATATATATATATATATATATATATATATATATATATATATATATATAGAGAGAGAGAGAGAGAGAGAGAGAGAGAGAGAAATACAACGGTTCAGCTGACGCTTTATTCAAGCAACAGCAAGATGGCGCCGATGATGAAGAGGAACGGGGCAAAGACTCATGATGGTTGTTGGCAGATGAGGAAGATGACGTCCAATGAATTCTTGCACTAATTTCCCCCGTTGACGGAAGCGGCCAGCGTGGCCGTGAATTACGCTGGGGAACGTATACGATAGGGCTTGAGACGCGAAACGTGCACAATCTCTGTCCCGCGGCAGCGTTGGTCAGTGGGGACATAAACAGGTGTGACAAGGTAGTTCACTGGTGAGGTCTGTTCGACAACTTTGTAGGGGCCAAGATAGCGTGACTCAAGCTTTCCGCATAAGCCAGGCGTTCGCGCAGGAGTCCACAGAAGTACATCGTCGCCAGGGCGGCAGAGAACGACGTGGTTAGTGGCATCGTAACGATGTTTGCGATCTTCTTGGCTAGCTTCGGTGTTTACACGGGCAAGACGACGGCATCGAGCGATACGGGACAGAAACTGGTCAAAAACGAATGTTGAAGAGTTGACGGGGCCAGAAAAAAATGAAACGTCGAGTGGTGATGTCGGTTGGCGTCCGTATACTAGGAAAAATGAAGAATAGCCTGTGGTTCGTTGAACTGACGTATTATATGCATACGTGACAAAGGGAAGTATGGCATCCCCATTGCGATGGTCCGGTCGGATATACATGGACAGCATGCCACACAGCGTGCGATGAAATCTTTCCGTTAAGCCATTGGTTTGCGGGTGATAGCTAGATGTTGTTTTATGAACTGTTTTTGATGCTTGAAGAACTTCACTTAGCGTGCTTGAAAAAAATGCCTTGCCCCAGTCACTCAAAAGAACACGAGGGGCTCCGTGACGTAGGTAAATAGCATGCGAGAAGAAAGTTGCTACTTCCGAAGCAGTTCCTGAAGTGATCGAGGCCGTCTCAGCGTACCTGCTCAAGTGATCAACTGCGGTGATGATCCATCTCTTGCCGTCTGCTGTATATGGGAGGGGCCCGAAGAGGTCAATTCCGACGACAGAGAACAGCTCTGATGGACAAGAAAGTGGTTGTAGGGTCCCGACTGGAGCAGTTGTGGGCCGCTTGCGGTGTTGACAAAGTGCGCACGAGGCTATATATTTAGCTACCGTCGTGGAAAGACCTGGCCAGAAGAATCGACTGCGGATGCGCTCGTATGTTTTGTAGTAACCCAAGTGTCCTGACGTCGGGTCGTCGTGGGAAGCGCGCAGAACTTCAGTGCGTAGTGCGCGTGGTACGACGGGAACCCATCAGAGGCCTTCCGGGTGGAAAATGTATCGATATAGCACATCGTCCTCCAACTTGAATAGTCGGAGTTGTTTCTGGAGCCTGGCATTAGGAGAAGAGGAGCATTAGGAGCGCCGGTAAGCCGACCGATGATGTCAGTGTAGTAAGAATCGGCTCGCTGGTGAGTAATAAGTACTGACGGACGGGTGGATGAAGGTAGGGTAGAAATGGCTGATATCGACGAGGCGTCCTCCGTATAGCCAATTTGACAAGGGGATGTGACGTGCGCCGAAAACTGCGGCAAAGGGCATCGTGACAAAGCGTCGGCATCTTGATGTTGTCTTCCAGTCTTGTAGATGACGTCAAAGTCATAAGATCCGTCAAAGTCACAAGTTTTTGATTGCGGACAACCAGCGAAGAGCATGGTGGTCTGTCACAACAGTAAAATGTCGACCATGTAGGTACGGACGAAATTTTTGGATGGACCAGACAACAGCCTAGCACTCTTGTTCGGTTATCGAGTACCTCTTTTCTGCAGAGGTCAGAGTGCGGCTTGCATACGCGACAACTTTCTCGCGAAAGGCATGGTCGCGCTGGAGGAGTACGGCACCGATTCTTTGTCCACTAGCATCAGTGTGTAATATCGTAGGTGCCCTGTCATCGAAATAACCAAGCACCGGTGGGAATGTCAGTGCCTGCTTGAGTTCTTGAAATGAGGCTTCGCATTGATTATTCCAATCGAAGGAACCGGTACTGGCAAGGAGCTTGTGGAGAGGAGCGGCAATAGTGGCAAAGTTGCGAATCCGGCGGCGAAAGTACGATGCGAGTCCAAGAAAACTGCGTAGTTCTTTGGAGCGAAAGGGTCACGGAAAGTTGAGGACTGCGGAAATTTTGTCGGGATCGGCTGGATGCCATCATTACTAACGAGATGTCCTAGAACTTTTAAAGCTGTGTTGCCAAAATGGCACTTCTTTGTGTTTAGTTGAAGTCGAGCATTGGAGAGACATGTGAGCACTTGATCTAGGCGTTGCAGATGATCAGCAAAAGTGGAAGAAAACACGACGATATCATCGAGGTAGCATAGACAAGTTTTCCACTCGAGGCCACGAATAACAGTGTCGATCATCCTTTCATATGTGGCGGGAGCATTACATAGGCCGAATGGCATTACGTTAAACTCTTAAAGACCGTCCGGCGTAGAAAAGGCTGTCTTTTCTTTGTCTGCTTCGTCCATTGGTATTCGCCAATACCCGGACCAAAGGTCAAGGGTGGATAAGTGTTGGGCGCCTTGCAATGAGTCAAGTGCATCATCTATACGGGGTATCGCATATACATTCTTTTGGGTAATCTTGTTGAGCGCGTGGTAATCTACACAAAATCGTACCGATCCATCCTTTTTTTGTACCAACACAACGGGCAATGACCAAGAACTGGTAGAGGGTCGTATGATGTTTCTTTTTAGCATATCAGTCACGTTCTCCTCGATGATTTTGCGCTCGGCCAAGGAGACTCGGTAGGGACGACGGCGTACAACAGTCTTACCGTCAGTGTCAATGCTATGGTGCGCAACTGTGGTCTGTCCTAGTGCCGGAGCATTGGCGTCGAAGGAGGTCTGGTGTTTCGTTAGCAAATTTACCAACGCCTCATGTTGAGAAGCAGAAAGGTCAGGATTTATCCCGGAAGCGAAGGAGGAGGAAGTAACAGACTGGGCCTGTTGTGGCTGAGCTGTCAAGGCGTCAAGAAAGACCAAAGATACCGGTTGGGTATCCACATAACATGACACTGCAGAACCTTGGGGTAGGAGGACAAGCTCTGGGTAGAGTTCAGGCCAGGGATTATCGCAGCACTGTCTTTGAACCGCACCAGGCTGGAGGGGACTACAACGCCGCGAGCTAGACAGCTGCTGGAAGGGGTGGTAAGGACGTCACCATTGGCAATATTTGGAGACGTGATGGTGATGAGTTGCTCCTGACCCGGGAGCAGTATGGATTCGGAAGCTGTGAAGAAACGCAATGGTTTTTCGTCGACGCGTTCACTGCATTGATTGGTCTCGGTCATTTTGACTACACGTTGATGGCAAGAAATTAATGCAGATGCTGATGAGAGAAAGTCCCAACCTAAAATTGCTTCATGAGCACAAGAAATTAAGACAGCGAAGGTGATGTGATGACGAATACCATCAATGAAGACACGCGCTGTACATTGGGCCGATGGTCTAATTATTGCTCCATTGGCCCCAATCAAAGATGATTCAAGGTAGCGTGTCTTCACTTTCCGCAATCGAGTACACAAGTCGGCACGCATAACTGAAATAGTTGCTCTCGTGTCTACCAAAGCCAACACCCGCACACCTTGCACAGTTACCAATAACATGTTTGACGGTCGTTCAGGAAGACTTGGGTCATTTCGCCGCAATGCAGTTTTCCCTCCAAAAACTGCACTG